TTTAACTTAATTAAATTCTCTCCCGTACAATACTAAAAATTTTCATGCGAGCTGAGGGTCCATACTGGCCTAATATAATTAGATATTAAATGAAAGATATTTTATATATGTCTTTAATTAAATATCCAAACTTAACTAAAAAAGGTTAAAAATCAAAAGGGCATGTGTTAAAGTGGAAATGTTTTAGGTTCATCAACAAATTAATCTCATAATCAGCTTAGATAGTTATTTGATTTGATCTGAAAACTAACCATGGTTATAAGCCTGTTTTATAATCTATTATTGGAGGATGAGCCTATGTGAAAACCATTGTTTTCTATGCAATTTTTTTATCAAATTTTATACAAATAAAATGAAAATTTGCTCCATCTGACTCAGATCATAGTGTCACGACGCAAGGGTTTAGAGTACCACAACGCTGCTTTTAATCTCTTAGCCTCAATACTGTGGTTGGAGCATTCTATCTTCTGCCCTAGCCTGAAAAGTTTTAGTGCTCCAGCATACAGTGTTGCAGCACTATACAACTGTGTAGACAAAAAATAAATTGAGACAAAGCCCTTGAACCCCCGACAACCTCTCAACTGGCTCATCGTCAAGTTCGACTGATGGAATTAAGGTCCAAATAAACAATACAACTTAGTTAATCAACACAAACAAATTCCACACAGAATAACAAACAAATGAACCCATAATATTGGCAAAGATTCGAAAATAATCTATTAGCAATTATACATTATTTTCTTTATATATACTTATTCATTTTTAAACCCTCTATTTTTTACATTGTTTTTTATTATAATTTAAAGTGGTAAATTAAGGGGTTTCTATTCTCAACCTTTGCAAAATTCTAATTCAAGTTTCATTTCGTTCATTAATATGCAGCACATATTTTTTTTTGTTGATTAGAAAATTTCGCTATCAACTAAGAGGTCTTTGATTAAGTTTCAAATATTTGATGTATGTATGAATTTGTCATAATTTACTTTATTGTCCCCAAAAAAAACTCTCATTTACATAGTTACCATTTTAATAAATAAATAAATTTAATTAAATTCTTGTAAAATTTAGAGATTAAAAATTTATAATAAATATAAATCCACAATGTGAATAATTTTAACACTTGAAATATGATATATATCGTAATAAATAAAGATAAGTCTTGACTTGAAACAACATTTACAAAGGACTTGTAATAAACTCAATGGCTCGTCGACGAGTCCCTTACAAGAAAATAGCTAGGAAAGAAAGAAAGATGAGATGAAAGAGGAGGAATAGTAGCGTCAATACTCTTGACAGGAGCATCATTAACATAAATACGAATTCTCATTACCCATATTGTCCTCCTTTTCAATGAAATTATCAGATGTAGTAGGAATAGGGGTGTTAATTTCGGGTCACGGGTCGGGTTCGGGTCGAAGCCGAAACTGACCCGGCACTATTCGGGTCAACCCGAATCCGACCCGTTTTAAAAACGGGTCGGTTTCCTGTACCCGAACCGACTAGCTTCGGGTCCGGGTCAACCCGACCCGACCCGAATGACCCATTTTCAACAAAAAAAATTGCTAATTTTCAGGTCAAAAACGAGTCAATCTCCTCTTTTCGGGTCAAAATCAGGTCAATCTTGGGTTGCCAGGTCAAAATCGGGTCACTTTTGGGTCAATTTCGGGTCAAAGGGTTACCCGAACCCGACCGATTTTTGAAACGGGTCGAAATGTTGAACCCGAACCCGACCCGTTTCAGGTTCGGGTTGACCCTAACCCGAAATTTTTGGGTCGGGTTCGAGTCGGGTTTTCGGGTCGTGTCAAATATTGACACCCCTAAGTAGGAATAGCAACCAATAGTTCTAACCCCTCATAATTTTCATTAAAGATATTACCCCTATTAGAAATTCACCTTAATAGGTTTATAACATGTTGGAGGATCAACCTATGTGAATACCATTGTTCTCTATCCAAATTTCTTTTTTCTATCAAATCTTATATAATTCAAATAAAAAACAATGAACCTATAATATTGGCGAAAATTTAGAGAAAATCTATTAGCAATTATACTTTTATATATATTCATAGATTAATTGCTAATTAATATAGTTTTTAACTATCACATCTCATCACTCCTATGACTGTAAATAAACCAAGCATTCAATAATCTACTAGTGGTTTGGATTGACTACGGGCGGCTCGTTCATGATCATTTATTCAAGTAATAAAACAATTTTAAATAATTTGAAAAATGCTCAACCAATAAATAAACATTATTTAATAGATATGTGTTCCGCTCATTTGTATTCATAAACAATATCGATTATAGCTTGTGAACAAGCTGGATAAGATGCTCGATATATAGCTCATTAATTAAGAAGATTGATTAAATTTTTATTTTGCTTAATTTTTAGTTTTATTATAATGAATTAATTTTAATTTTCATGTTATACTCTTTTAAAAGAATGGATTTATTTATGAAAGAAAGATATTTTGTTCGTGTTTTGTGGGTTGTTTAGTTAAAATGTTCATAAACGAAATTGTTTATAAGAAGAATCATTTTATGAGCTCAGTTGTTTGTGAACAAAAGATATGTTCGTGGACAAGCTTGTTTGTTGACCCAGCTTAAACGGGCTAATAACAACATGCAAGCTCAAACATGAACAGGCACTTGACAGAGTAATGATTCCGTCAGGTTATCGAATGGATTCGGAAAATAATAACAAAACGCCACGTCACTAAAGTGCTCAGTATTGTGCTCAATACAGGCGCTCGGTATACTCGGTATGCTCGGTATGCTCGGTATTTTTACCGGACGCAATAAAAATTCCACTTCTAGGCCTTTTAAATGACTTAGTGATGACTTAGGTCAACCCTCATCACCTAATGGCTTCTTCTTCCTTTATCCTTTATCAAAGCAAAGCATTGTCGGACTCTTAAATCAGATTTCATATGAAAGCAAATCCATATATAAAAAATTATCATATATAAATCTATTAGTAAAAATATTTACAATAATAATCATATTAGTAAAAAAATTTTGCTAGAGTATTCCTGATGTCTACTAGTTAACCTCTTTTTAGCTACTGTTATATTTTATTTATTAGTTTCCCAATAGCTGGATGCTTATTTTGCATCTGTTATTTGATTAATTTGTTTGGAGCTTATTATAGTGGTTGTGTTACTATATTTGTTGAGTTCTACTGAAGGTGTTCAATTTGTGGCAATTTTCAACTAAGTGGCTTTTTTTTGCCACCTTAGAAGGAGATTATTAGGTGCGGAGTGCGGACGGGGAGAACCGTCCGCTCAAGTATTGTCGGGCGCTACGTATCCGCACTCGATACCGCTGGATAATGCTGGGTACCGCTAGGTACCCAGTGTTCGTGCGGACGGTGCGCACTCCGCACCCAATAATTTTTCCCTTAGGGCATCTCCAACCGAAAAACTCATTTTTCACTCCAAAATGCAGTAATAAACTAAAATGCAGTAACTTGTCTCCAATCGAACTCCATTTTTTAATACAAAAAAAAGAATATTCCTAGTATATTCTTTTCCATACTTCATTTTATATATTTTTAATCATAAATTTTATTTATCAAATTTTTGAATTAAGTATATTATAATTATAAAAAATATATTTTTTGCTTCATAAAATAATTTGAATATTAATATGTCATACATAAATAAATATTTAGCTAATAAATTGAAAATTACATTAGAACACTTAAATAGGAATGAGAAAATTAGTTATGTAAAAAATATTTAGATTTCTAAAACAATAAGATACTTCTAATTTATTATTCTTTAATTAGTAATAAAAAATATCTAAACTTTAATTTTTAAAATTAATAATTATTTTTCGAATAATTAAAAAAAAAAAGCAAATGGCGGGTGAACAGTGCGACGCCAAATATGGCGTCGCACTGTTATGATGTCGCACTGTTCATTCGCGATCGTATGCGGTAGAAAATGGCGCTCGGTTGGAGCGACCTTAAGCACCGCAAACGAGTTTTTGCAGATCCATTGAAGATGCCCTTAGAAGGCATTCCTCATTGAAGCTGTTCATCTTTTTGGATATTCTTGTTGGTTATTGTGAACCATAATTTTTTGTTTTTTAATTTTTTTGGATCTTTGGATTTTCTAATTTCTTTCTCATTTTATGATCTTATATATTGATCATATTGTGTACCTCTTATGTAATATTTTGAACCTATATAGGAATGCAAGGCCTGACCCTAAACTTTCCAAAAAAAAAAATCATCATAATGAATAAATAACTAATTACATTAATTATGTTCACAACATATCCCTAAATTTAATTATTTTTTAGCTATCACTTAGAACTTATTTGATCAACATAAATTCTCATATCTTGGAGCATCTTTGAATTTTAATAAAAATTATTTTTAATCAAAATTTGGTTCTAAATCATTCAAATTTTGATTACAATAAATTTATATTTGAATTAATTGATCGACAACACAATGCAAAACAACATCAAAGATAATAAGAATTTAGCATGAAAAAATTTAAAATCGAAAAAAAAAATCACAGAATTATGACACCCTAATAAATTCGTTATATTTGAATTAATTGATCGAACAATACAAAGTGATTGCAGCTTGCGGCCCTACGTGGTCACGAGTACAGCCTTCTACAGACATTTGCCGGTCGCAAGTGAGTTCCGTCGGACGATCGTGAGCAACGTCAATTCGGGTTAACCGGAACCCAACCCAATTTTAAAAACAGATCAGAATCTTGACCCGAACCTGATAAGCATGACAAACGAGTTGACCCGAACACAAAATTTTTCAAATTGGATCTGAATCTAGTCAAATATTAACACCCCCTAAGAAATTCCCCAAACAAGAGGAGAACAAGTAGAAGAGAACAAGAATAAAAAGAGACCAATTATAAGATGCCGGCTCATATGATAGTTGTAGATGAATCCCCAATATAACGAGGTAAAAATTAAAATGATGCCAAAATGTTTTATTTTTTTGCCTATAAACTTTGTTTCTTTTTTATTTGTACACGATTAGTTTAGTTTTCCACCTACTTTTCCAAGATCCCATCAATAACGTCTTTAAGAAGTTCCATTCTCCAGTTTCTCCCTGCCCTCTGGCTTCTGCCTTGATGATTTCCACTTACCTAACTCTTCTGTCTTTGTTCCTTTACATCATCTTCGTCTCTGGATGCCTCCCTGTCCAGAGATCGGCGCTGCTACAACTAAAGAAGGGCTTCAATTTCTCTGAGCTGGAATCTTGGCAGCCAAACACGAACTGTTGTCAATGGAGCGGCATCCTTTGCGACGATGATTCGGGTAATGTCATCCATCTCGACCTCAGCTCTCAAAACATATCGGGTAGGATTGATCCGATCCTTTTTAATCTCACTTCGTTGCGTGCTCTCAACCTTGCCTTCAACAACTTCTTTGGAAGCTTTCTTCCAAGTTCTGGATGGGAAAAGCTTGGGAATCTCACACATCTGGATCTTTCAGACTCGGGATTCCAGGGGCAAGTACCCATCGGCATCTCTCGTCTCAAAAATTTGGTTTATTTGGATCTGTCTTACCTCGAGTTCACATATCTAGAGCCAAATTTCGAAGCGCTTCTCCAAGGGCTCAGTAATCTGAGGGTGCTCTATCTTGATGATGTGAACATCTCTGCTAGTGGAGAGGAATGGTGTGGAGCTTTAGCTAGGTCAACTCCCAAACTTCAAGAGTTGAGCTTGGTATTTTGTTCGCTCTCCGACGGCATTGGAATTTCCTTATCCAAGCTTCGGTCTTTGTCCATCCTTGACCTTGAAGGGAACAATTTGAACACCAATATACCTGATTTCTTTGTTAATTTTACTTCATTATTTGTGCTTCGGCTAGGTTATTGTGGGCTTAAAGGATTTTTTCCCAAAGACATATTTAAGCTTAAGAATTTAACAATTGTTGATGTCTCCTCTAATCCAATGCTTTCTGGTTCCCTCCCAGATTTCACTATGGATAGTGCTCTAAAAAGTTTGGTGCTTTATGACTCAAAATTTTCAGGGTTTTTACCTGATACAATTGGCAATGTAAGGTCTTTGGAAATATTAGATCTTTCAAACTGTAATTTCTACGAGAAAATACCATCTTCAATTTGGAACTTGACTCAGCTAAGGAATTTGATCCTCTTCTCCAATAATTTCACAGGTCTGATTCCTCCTTTTCAGTCACCTTCATCTGTTGTTGAGGTAACAATCGCACAGAATCAAAAATCAGGTTCAATACCTAGAGTTTATGGAGGGAGAGGTCTTCAAAAACTTGTCATAATTGATCTATCTAATAACTCGCTTTCAGGCCCAATCCCTGAAACCCTATTTAATCTACCTCAGTTGCAGGCATTGCTGCTTTGGCAGAACCAGCTCTCTGGCCAACTTCCTGTGTTTGTTGAAGCTTCTTTATTGAAAAATATTGATCTCAGTAATAATAACCTCCAAGGAAAAATCTCAACGGCACTTTTTCAGTTGTCTGGACTCGAATTCCTCTCGCTTGCTATGAATAACTTTACTGGATTTTTCCAGTTGGACTCTATGTTATTTCTCAAGAACCTCTCATATCTTGATTTATCAAACAATAATATCAATGGAGAGATCCCTACATTGATTGGAAATCTTGTTTCTCTATACTTGCTCAACATGTCAAGAAATGCTTTGACAGGTCCAATTCCTCATCAGCTTGGCAGTCTGACACAACTCAAGTACTTGGATCTCTCTAAAAATCATCTTTATGGAGAAATCCCTCTTGAACTTGTTTCTTTAATGTTCCTTTCTGCTTTAAATCTCTCCTACAACAACCTAGTTGGAAGAATTCCTAAAGGTGGCCTATTCTCGACGTTCTCAAACACTTCATTTGAAGGAAATGTGGGACTATGTAGGTTTCCTTGCAACACTTTAGTTGAAATGATGAACAATATCTCGATATCGCCTCCAACTTTAGATGACATAGAAAACAAAAGTTATATGATTATATTGGGAATATTATTTGGTGTTGGATTTGGAGGGTCAATGGCAATCGTTATTGTGCTTGATGTCTTGTGCTTTGATAGAAGCAAGAGGAGAAACAGGAGAACTGTTGATGGATAATTGGTGATTTTGTATTCTTAATCTAAACTTTTTTTCCTTTCCATCAAGTCGAACTCCACTTGTATCTAATTTGTGTAATTTAATGACCTTGTAATACTAAAACCTTAATGTATAATATTTATCAATGTTTTAAAAACTAGACCGTGAACCGGTCACATGACCGGTCCGGTTCAGTCATAAAACTGCCTCCGCACTGAGCCGAACCGGCCCAGGTTATTTTGAAATTTCACAATTTTTAAATATTTTTAAAATTTTTTAAATAAATAAAGTGACATATATTTTTAAAACATTTAATAATTGTAATACTTCTTTTATTTTAAACATTTGTACCCAAACCATCATTAAGCATTGCACATGGCCCCACCACCCACCACAATATGTGAGCACTTAATATAAGAAAACTCAAAATACTATATAAACAATAGCAAGAAAGTCTTTAAAGTGATGTGGTTTTATGTATGAGCTCATAACATATATAATGCATATAAAAATTATATTTTAACAAATTTTTTAATTAATTATTTTTTATGTAAATGATACTTATTTATTAGTTAATAATAAAATTTTATTTATTTATACATTATAAAAAATAATTTATCATTAATAATTTTATGTATTTATTAACATTTTAGTCTTTCATTTTTTATTTAATAAACCTATTGATCAGAAATTCTTATTATGAAGAGCTTTTTATTATCAGAAAATAATTAATGAAAGGAGTCATTTTTACTTATTATTAATTATTAATTTTATTTTATTTATGTTTTAAGATCTAATAAAGCATATTCAGTATTTTTTTAAATTTTCTTACGTCATTTATTTATGGTGGTGAGGACTATGTTAAATATCGGAGCAATGGTGGTAGTCAAAGGCTTCGTTTGGGATAGTTTTCTTACTGATTTTTAAAATAGCTTTCGAGTACAAAAATTTCTTGAGCTATAAATTTTTTTACTAAAAATTTGTTTTAGAAAAGAGTGAAAAAGCTATTCCAAAATAGAGCTAAAACCAAAATTAAATAATTTAATAATATAATATATAAATAGTTAATTAAAATTTATATCATATTCTTCTAAAAGCAAAGCGATTGAATCTAAAAACCTATTCTTATTACTTATTTTTATTTTAAAATTTATTTTGAAATGAGAGTAATATATAATTACTAAATAAAGTTTATATTACATTTATTTAAAATAAATTTAAAATTTTGTTTGCCCATTCAAATAAAAATGTACATAGATTATTCTGTCCCAATTATTAAAAAAAAACTTGTAATTTTTCATATATCTGAGAGATTATTTGAAATAGAAGTAGACATCACAAAAGAAGTTTGAGAAAATAGAACAAGAGAGATAAATTAATGTTTAACTTAAATTCTTTCCCATACAATAGTAAGAATTTTAATGCGAACTGAGGGTCCATACTGGCCCTCAGCATGGTTCGTGGCAACATTGGTGTTGATCTCGTTGGGATGGTTGCTTCGCGTTTTGTTCCACCAAATTGGACGGCCCGAGCTTGTCTTATGGGAAGCTGGTAGTCTCGGCCTTCTACTGGGCCCACGGGATTGTTTTTTCCTCCTATTTTTGCTTTTGCTTCTTGGATCTTGTAATCGCTCTTTTCGTTCTAATAAATTGTTCTGTTTTGTAAAAAAAAAAATACTGGCCTAATATAATTAGAAATTAAATGAAGGTTATTTTATATATGTCTTTAGTTATATATCCAAACTTAATTAAAATAGCTAATGTAAAAGGATCAACCTATGTATTAATCTGTTGGAGGATATTTTATATATGTATTAAGCCGTTCGAGGATCAGCCTATGTGAATACCATTGTCTTCTTTGAAAATTTCTTTTTTATCAAATTTTATGTAAATAAAATGAAGACGACGTTGAAAAGTAAAATCAAACAATGGAAACAAACAAATAAGAAAAAGAAAGTAGAGGAAAAGTACACCAAGAAATTCGCTAAAAATATTGAGAGAAATTATACAAACCTCTCTTCCCACATCGTTCTCTACTCAAATTAGATAAAAGATGCACATAAAAACATCCAAAAGACTCAACAATTCACGTGAAATAAGAAGAAGAGGGAACAAAAATTGCTCCATCTGACTCACATGTCACGGCGCTAGGGTTTCGAGTACCACATCGCTGCTCTCTATCTTTAAACCTTAATATTGAGGTTGGAGCATTCTATCTCCAGCCCTAGCTTAAAAAGCTATAGTGCTTTTGCATACAGCGTCGCAGCACATATTTTTTTGTTGGTTGGAAGATTTCGCTATCAACTAAGAAGTCTTTGGTTTGAGTCTCGTATATTTGATGTATGTATGAATTTGTCTAAATTTATTTTGAGTCTCGTATATACTTGTAATATTTAGAGAACAAATATAGGATTAAAATTTTATAATAAATATAAATCCATAATGTGAATAATTTTAACACTTGAAATATGATATATATTGTAATAAATAAAGCTAAGTCTTGAATTGAGACAACATTTATAAAGAATTTGTAATAAACTCAATGGCTCATGGACAAGAAAAAATGAAGCTTTCCCCTCACACATCAACTCTTAGTATTATGGATTCAAGTTCCAAGATCGACTTGAAGGTGAATGAGCTAAGGAGCTTTCTTATTTAGGGATGGAAGAATAATTTCTCATGAGAAAATTGCTCCATCTGACTCACAGTGTCACGACGCTAGAGTTTCGAGTACCACATCGCTGCTCTCTATCTTTAAGCCTCAATATTGAGGTTGGAGCATTCTATCTCCAGCCCTAGCTTAAAAAGCTATAGTGTTTTTGCATACAGTGTCGCAGCACTATAGGGCTGTGCAGACAAAAAAAATTTGAGACATAGCCCCTAAACTCCCAAGCAAGTGATATGCTAGCCCCAACAACCTCCCAACTGGCTCCTAAATTCTAGACACAGTACATTTATAAATGATAAATTAAGGCAAAGTAATTGGAGGGACACTATTCAAAATAAAAATTAATTTTTCAAAAAGAAGTTTTTAAGTAATGATCTTCACATTCAAATTATATATTTACCATTTTAATAGACAAATAAATGTAATTAAATTCTTGTAATATTTAGAGAACAAATATAGGATTAAAATTTTATAATTAATATAAATCCATAATGTGAATAATTTTAACACTTGAAATATGATATATATTGTAATAAATAAAGTAAGTCTTGAATTGAGACAACATTTATAAAGAATTTGTAATAAACTCAATGGCTCATGGACAAGAAAAAATGAAGCTTTCCCCTCACACATCAACTCTTAGTATAGTGGATTCAAGTTCCAAGATCGACTTGAAGGTGAATGAGCTAAGGAGCTTTCTTATTTAGGGATGGAAGAATAATTTCTCATGAGACCAAACTAAGTGAAATTCAGTCATATAAGAGAACATAAGGAATAGTCTTGGTCGATTCAAAAATAGTTGGAAAAAAAAACATAAGAAACAATGTAAAATACATGTTGGATTTCTACATGCGTCACTCGCTATACACTTGAACAACTAGCATGTCATGACCTTACATACTTCAAATAGTTGCAGTCATGTGAATGATTTTCAAATAGGAAAGTGGTCAAAATGATTGCGTAACATGCACTATAGGAAAATGCCTTATTACCAGCGGATAAACATACACCGAAAATTGCGACGAACTTACCATCGGAAATGTTCGTCGGAAATTTTACGGCGGACTTTCCGGCGGTGTGGCCGTTGGAACGTTACCGTCGAATAATACGCCGGTTTTGCGCCGGTGTTATTACTATGCCGGTGCATAATCCACCGGTAATTACCGGCGTATGAACCGGTGTATTTTCCGTTGGCATAACTAAAACACGATGAAATGATACTGGCGAAAGTTCCGCCGGTAAACTTACCATCGGATAGTCTGCCGGAAATACGCCGGTAATATTATAATATCGGGTGAACCCCTAGGGCTGCCTTATCATTTCCTCTTGTTCGAATTCGCTCCTCCGACGCTCTTCCTCTTGCATTTCTACACTGTTTGACTTCACTCCTTCGATCGATCGTCCATTCCGCTCCTTCGATGTTGTTCGCCTTCGCTAGCTCCGACGTTGTTCTACTTTGCTCTGACGCTATTTGACTTCGCTCCTTCATCGCAGTTCTACTTTCTCCTTCGCCGGTGTTCAACTTCGCTCCTTCAAAGCCGTTCGACTTCGCTCCTTCTAAGCGGTTCGACTTGCTCCTTCTTCTTCGCAGGTAACCTTCTCCCTTTCGCGCTCTTTGACTTCTCTACTTCGGTGACCTAGCTTCCACATTAACGCTTGCTCGTTTGCTATTTAGGTAACTTGTTCGACTTCTCTCCTTTGACGAATTTCCCTTCATACTGGATCAGAAGTTACGACATTTTAACGGGATCTCGTTTTCTGTGTAGGTAACTTTCTTTCTTTCTCTTGTAACGTTGCTCATTAATCATCATCATGTGTTGGTAACGAAATAAGCATATAAGTGAAAATGTTGGAGTAGCTCCAGTAGAAGATAAGATTAGAGAGAGTCGCCATAGATGGTTTGGTCACATTAAACGGAGGCCTTCCGATGACCCCGATTAGGAAAGTTGAGGTATTAGATTGACTTATATTAAAAAAGGTAGAGGTGGACCTAAAAAGACTTTGTTAGAAAATATTAGAAATGATCTTTCTTTATTAGATTTAAATGAGAATTTGATTTTTAACTGGACACAATGGAGAAAAAGGATTCATGTAGCCGACCCCACGTAGTGGGACAAAGGCTTGATATTGTTGTCGTTGTTGATGTGTTGGAATTAGCTAGTGATATGCATAATATGTGGGAATTAATCATCATTTGAATATAGTTAGGGATTTATGATCTCAGATGGGGTGATCCCGGTAGTTTGATAAAGATAGTGAAATCTTAGAGGGAAGTAAAGATAAGGGAATTGAGATTTGAATACAAAAAAATTTTGAAATGTGTTCAACATTTGTTCCAATAAATATTACAATATTATCTAATATATCCAAATTATATTTAGGTCATATTATGGATATCAGAACTCAATGAAGTTGGATGTATA